GTGTCCTCTCATTCAGATCTAGTACATCTGTTTTTACAACCTTTGCTACTCCAGACAGCCCAGCTCAGTCAAATAAATTCCTCCTAAATAAATGTGACCTGACTTGGATTCATTTTGCTAGACATGTGTTGCAAATGTTGCCTTTATGTGTACAACAAAGTTGAGCTCATTTATAAAATATTTTCCCACAGAGAGCTCAAATAGGAGCCGAATCTATGGCTTCCTGTCAGCATAAATTTACGAGTCAATTATTTTTCTGTTCTGTTGTGAATAAACTTAGAAAAACAAACTCCATAGTACTGATTTCAGAAATAATTCATGTTGTGAAAGGTTTTAAAACCTGACCTGTTGTTCTCAGGTTCCTGAAGTTCTGCTTCGTTCCTCTCACAGTTGATGTTCCTGCTCTTTGAAACTATTGTGGGATGGAATCTGAGATAAGAACAGAACACTTCTACTAAATCGAAGAAGGGGAATGCAGAAATACGCCTCAAGACAGTTTGGGTGTTTCCATGAGCTCACGCCTGCCTCCAGTCACACGGTGGAGAATGAGCACGAAAACCTGTGAGCACAAACCTAGAAGGTGTTCTCGTAAATAAACGTGCACATCTTCCAGGTGATGTGTGTTTCAGAGCACTGATGAGTGTCCTTTGGGTGGAACAGGAAGTCCCTGTGTTCTGTGGGTGCGCTGATATCATTGTTCCCTCTGGAAACTCCTGGACAAATAAGCATTTGTTCCTTATGAAGTCAGAGGAAGCTCTCCTTGCTGCTCTGCTTCAGGATGCTGATGTTGGCCTGCATGCTCAATGGCTGCTGGGTGTTTTTACAAAATTAACCTTCCAGGATGGAGTGATTTGTGGGTCACTAGAAGGTCAAGTATAAGTTCAAGTCAGCCACTTTAAACCTGCTTGTTTTAATAATTTAGCTTATAAATGTAATTCTGCATCATGAAGTCTAATAAAGGTTTCCCTACTCAAGCCGTACACTCTTGTCCGTACACATGTTTGTTGTATTTGTTGTTATTTAGGCTGGTCTCTAACAGATGTCCATCCAAACAAAAACAGAGCAGCCTGTGTGGAGTAGGCATGTTGTCACTTTGTGGACGAAAAATGAAAATGAAAAACATAAGGTTTGTTAAAATGTTTGATTAGGTATAAACTAAAAAAAAAAATCTTAGACAAAATTGTAGCCCAGTGTTTCTGCTGGATGGGTAAGCTGGGCGTAACGTAATTACTTTCAAAATAAAACTCACGTGCAGATTTCCAGTTTGTGAAACCTCTGAAGCCAAGGTAAGCGGAACAGAAAGTAAACCCCAGACCAACACATGAACTGCTGAAGTCACGGGTGGTCTTGCAGTTCTCCAGCGATTTCTGGACCTCACAGAACCCGCTACATGAAATGCTTTTGATGCCAATCACATCTGAAACTCTTCCAGTGAGAATGCTGATCTACTGGGGAAAGCACATCTATTACGTCACACACTGCTTACGCGTCTGGTGGAAGGCCCATGTTGACTTTATGTGTGTAATTCACTGAGTCGCCTCAAGTTCAGATGGGTGACACAGATCACCAACTAAAGAAAGCTGATTAACTTCATGTCTGTGAAGCTCCTCTACTCGTGTTCATCATGAAGGGGTTCTTCACAGGAATGAGCATGACTGGAGCTTTATGGTCCAAGCCCTTTACAGATCACTAAAGTCGTGTCACTTTGCATCTCTTTGTTCCAGAAGCTAGTCATCGGTGGGCTATTTGCATGCTGACTGTGTTTCTGGTCCCAGCACAGCAGTAGAAATTAGAACCAAGTCATTGAGCTCTAACAGAAGGACTGGTCCAAACTGGTAAAAGTCATGGAAACAGTTGTTACTGGGAGCCATGCTCACACTCAGGCATGTTTCCACCATCAGAACTTCAGGTCATTTTACTGGAATCTTCCAGCTTCCATGTCCCTTCTTCACTGGGCCGGCCGAGCGGGCCATTTCCCGGCTGTGTTCAGGAACCAACAGAGTAAAGGCCCGGTTGGGTTGCTCAGTGGAACTGTTGGTAACTCATGCTGGTTGGTTGTAACTCAGTAGGAAATGACATCAATAAATGTTGAACCAGCATTTGTAAAATTAGAAGAGCTGCTTTTGAAGCAGAATGGAAGCACAAGCCAATAAGCGCCGTTTGTGCTGCTTTAAAATCACCGTTATTTCATTCCCAACACTGACAAACGTAACAGAAATCCCCCACAGCGTGTCACTCACGGGGCTGTGTTGTCTCGCAGAGTGCCATAAAAACAGAGCTTCTGCTGGTCATTAAATGTCACATTTTACATCACACAGCTGTTCTCCCGGCCCTCCAAATGAATTCATACTTTTAACAGAATAAAACTTTTAATGTTACTGTGGAGTTGTGGCGCTGATCAGTGACATCACTCACTGCTGAAGCAGTCGTGATATGCTGACGTCTGTGCAAAGTCCTGAAAGGGCTGAATCTGTGTGGCCTAAAGCTGAATCCTACGTGTTGGAAATGAACAGGTAAAACAGGTAAACAGGTAAAAGTTAACCGACACCAATGCAGTTGCTGTAACTTATCATTTCTGTTCACCTAATATTGAAATTTTGTCATAATTTCCGTTAAAATGTTTTTTTTTATCTCCCTAAGTCTTTTCCTGTTGAAAACAGAGAAGAAACTAAAACTTGAACTCTCATTGCATTTTCGGGTGGTAGAAGTATCAGTAATCAGTATTGGCAAGTACTCAGATCTAAGTATCGTATCACAACGGTTTGGAAAAAAGTGGTATCCCTGCATCCCAATTTGCAGCCAATGACCTTCTCAGCAGAGTGCCGACCACGCTGCAGCCTCTTCTTGTCCCTCCAGCTCACCACACTGTGATTGAAGAGGTGAGGGGGACTGCGATGTAGAACTGCCTCATCAACTGTACTGATAGGTAGGTTCATCCTCTGCTGGGCCTTTTTATGACAGAGGTGAGGGTGGTGCCCAGGACATGACGTGAGTCCACCATCGAGATGAAGGTGACAGACAGGGTTATGGGGGATTGGGAGGGGTGTAAATTGGGTATTTAGCAACATTATTAACCCTTTCACGTTCTGGTGAATGATTTGGCGGGACCCATGACCCCAGTGTGTTGGTATATCATGCACTGAACTGGAAAAGAAAATCCTACAAACTAAGAGGATGTTTGATAACACTGCTCTAAATGAATAAAATATAAAACCACCTTCTGGGATTCTGACGCAGCTCCACTGGGAGCGTCATTCATGTCGGTTTAAAACACTGAGCAGTAAGGCCAGTGGCCTCCAGACTCTAACACAAACTAGAAGCAACAACCTTTCCCTGCCTCACCCACAGACTGACCATTTCCTCCCGTTGCCGTGTGTGTTAATCCATCAGGATTGTTGTTGTATTGTTGCCATGCATGGGAACGTTTCTGCTTTGCTGCCTCTCACTGTCACAGCCTGATTTTTTGTCTCTCTGTGTGATTTCTAGACGCTGACTGAGGAACAAAGAGAGGTGTTGTTTACATTCAGCCCATCGAAGGGCCGGATGCTGAGCCTACGGTGTCAACAAATCACATGCAAAGTGCAGGGCGGCTGGGAGAGTGGCTTTTTGTTTAGACCAGCAATGTACCAAATCTGACCAAACCTAAAGGTAAAAGATGTAAACTAAAGACTCCGGGTTGCCTCTTATCATAATTTAAAACCACAGATCTGAGGTATTGTCTTCTGTTGCCTGAACATCACAAATCATTAGCTGAATATTGAGTGGAGGACTGAAGGAACATCCGAGATGCTAAGGTGGAAAACCCTCTGCCGGGCTTGTTACACTGGAAAACTGCTATTGTAGCTACTGTAGTTTGACTCTGGCTTCACTTCCTGTTCAGCTGCTCCAAGACAAGAGCGCCCGATTTGTGCACACAGGTGGGTGTGTGCTGAGGGAGGAGGGAGGATCTAATCATTAAGAACGGGACATTCATGATGATTGGATGGGGGTTTTCTAGGACTGGTTATGTCAGAGGGGATTGCAATGATTGATTTTATTGTTGTTGTTTTTTTTTTTTTTTTGGGGGGGGGGGGGGGGGGGTACGTGAAAAGGATTTCATGAAATGCAGCAGAAAGGCTCCGGAAAAACATCTCTTGCCCAACCTTTAAAGCTTAGATGAATACATCAAAGAGGTCCAGCTGAGGTGGGTGGGGCTTCCTGGTCTCCTTCTTCTGGAGGTTTAACAGACATGTCCCACCAGAAGACAGGGATCATACATCCTCCTTACTGGTCTGGCAACACATAAGTTGGGAAGAGAGTTGTCTCAGCATCCCTCCTGGATCTGTTGTCTCTAGAGCAGGGATTCTCAATCCCGGCCCTGCAGGCTGGTATCCAGCATGTTCCAGTTGATCTCCTGCTTCAGCATGCTCGATTTCAATCAGCAGCTCATTATCAGGCTTCTGCAGACCTTGCTAAGCTGCTGAACAGGTGATTCAGCCACTGGGTCACGTGTGTTTGAGCAGAGGAACAACAAAAACGTGCTGGATACCGGCCTTCCTCTAGAACCTGTTTTATCCGTCCCACTACTTTCACCCTCCCTGTAGTAACACTCCCCAGTTTCTCCTGTTGGTTTGCTTCTTGTGAGCCCCTTTTGTTATTTAGTGTTATTTTCCATGGTCACATGATCAGCTGTCTGCTTTTTCCACATTATTTTCATTTGTTTTCCACATCTGCTGCTCACGCGTTTTAGCCCTGTTCTGTAACTTTGTCAAAATGGTTTCCTTTTCTTGTGAATTCACACTTTATTTACATGTCTAAGTCTGTATCTTCATCTTAGAGTTTCAAAAATCGTCCAATGTTTTTGTTTGTATCTAACTGAGTTTAGGTCAAACTGCATGGGACACACACAGCATGCTCATCAAAAAGTAAGAAAACATCTCATTTATCTATTCAATTCAAGTTTATTTATAAAGCGCCAAATGGCACTTCACATAGTAAACACTCCAGTCTAGGTCAGTACATTAAGCCAATCAGAAAAAGTTTCCTACACAAGGAAGCCAGCAGTGACTTTACAGGAGGTATCTCGTAGCTATACCGTATATTCTGGTTAATTATATATTTTTTTAACTTTGAAAACATATTTCCCATCTGTTTTTCCAACAGCCCGTTCACCTCAGAGAAAACATTAGCTAGAAGAATGCCTTCCTGTTATTTTTTCCTCCCTGACCTCATTCTAACAATGCTGTTTGGTGACATCAAAGCATGAAGCAGCCAGAGAGCAATAAATCCATAAGGACCAGGAATGTGCCATAAATCACACCAGCAGGTGAAGTGGTGTGTTGCTCTAAATTGCCAGGATACTGATTGTTGTGTTAAAGAAGCAAATAAAGATGTGATTGTTCATGTTGTGTTTGTGCAGGAAAATATTCTGTAATGGCTTTGCTGGTGATTATTCTGTCTTGGTGCGCGGCAGCCCCAGAGAGCTGTAAACCTGCGTGTTTGATGACCTCGGGTCAGAACTCTGCACAGTAGCGTGTCTCATCTTTTCTCTTTGCGCCTGTTGTGTCTCCTCTGCTGCGTTGCGCGCTACGGGGCGGGGGTGGCGCTCAGTCCGGACGCACCAAAACCAGCTGCTCTCTGCCGCTCCAGCTGCCCGTGTGGGACTCGGAAATATGGGCGTAGAGAAGGAAAAATCAGACACAAGCATTATTATGGACGAGGATGAGTTCAACAGATCCATAGAGCCCATCCTGTCGAAGGAGAAGGTTTACGCAGCTGCGCAGGACCGCGATCCACACGACATCAACACGCATTTGAAGGTAAACTGAAAGTTCCGATGAACCTGGCTGTAAATGAGTTATTTACTCGCTCTGGGGACTCGCTGTGAGCCAATAGGGTTGGTGGAGATCTGAAATAATACCCGGAAGTCTCAGGGGAAGCGTTAATTCATCACCTCTGTTGCATCGCTCCCCGCTGACGGTCACTGTGCTTAATCTGACAGGTGGGCTTTGAGGACGTGATCGCGGAGCCGGGTTCCACTCACAGCTTTGACAAGGTGTGGGTCGGGAGCCACGCTGCCTTCGAGCTGGTCAAGTTCTTCTGTTACCGCCTGATGAGCACGCTGCTGGCCGTGCCACTGGCGTTCATCCTGGGACTGGTGTTTGGAGTGCTCAGCTGCGTCCATGTCTGGTAGGAGAGACACCACCAGCCTGCAGCAGGGATGCTCAGGCTGAGTCACAATCACACAAACAAAAAATAAACTGTCTTGTGCGCACAAAACAAGCAGTGAAAGATGTGTTAAAGTGTGAATAGCATCTGGACTTTCTCTGTTGGCAAACACACAAAGGAAGAGCCCTTCTAAAGATTCTGTCAGAATCTATTCCTGTTTCCACGTCCGACTGCTTTAGTTAAAGGGGAAACAGGCTTTACATCCAAGTGTGAGCTTCCATCTAAAAAATTCAGTCAATAAATCCATGCATCTCATCGTTTTTCTGGAGTTGGTTCGTGGGGGCAGTAGCCTGAGCAGAGAGGCCCAGACTTCCCTCTCGGGCCAGCTCCTCCAGGAGAATCCCAAGGCATTCCCTGGCCAGCTGGGAGACTCTCCAGCGTGTCCTGGGTCTTCCTTTAGGTCTCCTTCTGGTTGGACGTGCCCAGAAAACCTCACCAGGGAGGCGTCCAGGAAGCATTATGACTAGATGCCTGAGCCACCTCAACTGAACCAATACATCTAGCATAGTTGTTTTACAGTAGGAAACAAAAGGATGATGAGAAACAAAGCTCCGCCCACTTTTGGCTTCACAAAAACTATGTTTTTGATGGTCATTGTAAATGAAAATAACTTCCCAATGACTTGTCTGGTTAAATAACTAAAACACTCGAGTTTAAGCAGGGTCACAGGAAGTTGGACCTTACATGGCTGAAGTGACATTTTCATATGTTTTATATTTTTTACACATTTGTGTAACATTTAAAGATTTTTTCCACATCGTGTTCAGCCAAGTGTTGATGGTCACACGGTCAGACTTTTAAATCGTCTTTAATATTTCCCCAAAATAATCTTTTCTTTCCACCAAACTTTTCAATCATTACACAAATACATCCAAACCGACGTTTTTGTCTTCTTTCACTCACTGTTTGCACAAGCTCCCAATTCTCCTCAGAGAGCAGGTCCTACACCCCCGAGCTCCCATGGACTTCAGTTGTGTTTCAAACATTCAGTCAGGATCTTCCACAACCTCTAGGTTTACCTTTTGTTCTGTGTTCATGCTTTCCTCTCATTCAGTTTGCTCTCAGTGACTGAGACAGACATCTGTGGTTACCATGGTGAACTAATGAGACACTGGCTGCAGCTTTAACTTTGCTTTTAATCCCTTTGTTCACAGTTTAAACATCAGCACACAGGTATTTCTACCCAGTGTTGCTTATTCCTGACTTGGTGTAGGAAACTTGGAGCCATTTGGTATCCTTCCAAATGCATTCTAACACGTTTTCATACTTAACATCATGAAACCACTTTTCCCATGTTTTCATTAGCACAATGACATCAGGCCCACATGGGTTGGACCAGGTGCATTTATGTTATCATGCCAGCCACAGCCTAAAGAGGCCATTTAAAATCACTTGAAACATCATTTTGAGGCTGTATTTAAACACTTTGTGGAAATGTGGGCGGGATGTGGAGCTCTAGTGAAAGTGGGAGGGAAACACCTTCCATTTGCTTTGCTGTTCCGACGGTGTTAGCAGCAATTAACGTGTATTTTCAGACCAGAGTGGGACGTTCTTCATTGCAGCCCTGCAAGGAAACTCTTTCATGACCTTTTAGCTTCTGGAGACTGCAAGATCAGGAAGAAGTCAAGTCACGACTATTTATCAGTAGAGACCTGAGCTGTGACACGATGCCGGTCAGTTCACCTGGAATGTCAGAGTGGAAAATCACACTCTAATCACACGAGTCTTCTGCTTTTAAAACCCTGAGTGACGGTGCAGGAATCTGTCGAGCACACAGCATCTATTCACGGGGAACTCTCTTAGACATGAGGGATAACAGGAGCAGACTGATGTGAGGTGGAAGGTAAAATAACACCAACTTCTTCACTTCCTTTATTATTCCTTGTATCACAGGACACACTTCACCGTTCCCTGTGGAATCACAGAAGATTAATCTCTCCCAGCCACAAAATTCCAAACAATCCATTATTTCCATTCACTTGTATGTCCTTCAGCCCAGTTATTACACATTTGAAGCGGATTTCCTTTCAGACGGCTGCTGTTCCGTCACATAGCTGGATTCTTGTTCTGTTACACTCTCCTCTTCTGTCAGCCTAATGATATTTCCACTCAGGGCCAGTGAAGGTGCTTGGGTGTTTAGTATCTGAAGGCTCGGTGTTTTGACCACATGGATTTAAATAGAAACCAAACCCAACCCAAAAAATGTTTAATACTTTACAAAACTACACAAAAACAGAAAATAGAAAGCTCAGGACTGCACTGCTGATTTCTTCTTTGACACACTGTTATAATTTTTCTATAAGATTGCAAACTTGAGGACTACAGGCCGTTAGCCCATTAAAGTTATAGAAAATTGTTGTTTGTCAGTTTTTGTAGATGATCACAGTGCAGGGAGACAGTTTATCTACACAGATCACAGAGTTTCAGACATCTTACTATCGCCAGCATATTTTATAAACCCTGTTCTAAACAACAGGCATTGCTCATGAAGGATATAAACTCTGGTTGTTAAACAGCAGTGTGAACAGGAGGCACACAGCCAGGATCCATAAACACCAGCTGGTCATACTAAACGAGCTGCGTGCGTGTTCCAGCCCTCGCTAACTGTGTGAGCGGTGATCAGGAAGGCTGCGGCTGGGACTGAACCTGCAACCTTCTTACTGCAGAGCAGCAGTTCTCCCAGCTGCTCCAGCATGCAGACAGAGCTGAACCATACCTTTAATTTTGCTTTATTAAATTTAACTTGTGTTCCTCTCGTGGAAGCACTAATGCACACCCTGCAGCCCCAATAGATGTTCTGTTACCTGCACCAGATTCACCATGATCACACATAGCGTTAACATTCCAACCCCAGAACCCCTCATCCATGATTCTGGATAAACCTTCAATTAAGGCAAAGCACCCCTGATAATAGAGAACACCTATAGAGCATCATCCAGCCAATACAAAGGCTGCAGATCTATTCCATGTGGGATGAATAGAGTCGTCTACCATTTGGCTCCAAGTCCTGTTTCAGCGAAGATTCTGCCTAATGTGTTTTAATGTGCTGTCAGGTAAATATTTACACAATGAAAATACAAAATGCTGGAAGAATACATGCATCCACCTTTTGGTGGAAACATCAGCGTTTAGGTTCACAACCCTGAACATTCCTGTGTTGGCTTTGTCTCCAGGCTGGTGATGCCGCTGGTCCAGAGTTTCATGGTGCTGCTGCCATCATTACAGGTCGTCTGGAGGAGCCTGACAGACATGTTCGTAACACCGCTCTCCCACAGCATGGGAAGACTCTTGTCCTCTATTCAAGTGAAAATGATGGAAAACTGATGTGGGCGTGTCTCTGTCCCTCAGCAGAAGGGGAGTAATGAAGGAAAGCTTTGGCGTCAAAGCGAACTGTTGGAATGTTTCCAGTATAACACATGAACCTTTGGGAAATACTGAAAAAGTTATGACGATTGTAAATTAGAAAATGTTCAGTTATGGCCACAATGTCACTGACTTGGTTTTATTGGTGTGTTTTATTGGTTTGAGGCGTGTGTGAACTACCTATGAGTGGTTGGTTTTGTATGAGGGTTTCACTGGTCAACCCAACTTACTGGTCTTACATCCCATCAAGACTCACATATGTGATGGTATGGCATCACTCTTGAGTTGTTTTACAAAATGAATGAAGCTGGAAAACTGGAAAACAAGCACAAGTCTGATAGCCTAGCAAGCCATTCTGTATAAGTAGACAACTATAGTCTGGCCATGTCCCATAGAGAGAGCCAGGGGTGGACTGGCAATCTGGCATACCAGGCATCGTCCCAGTTGGCCGTTTACCCAGTGAGGTCCCATCCAGTTCGTTATTCCTGACTTGGACTGACCTAAAATCATTTGGGCCAATGGTAGACCTGCTAAGGATACAATGGATTGTGGCTGGACCGACCTGCAGAGCTAAATCATTTGCTACTGCTAGCAAGGCGCTAGAACACATTGTTAAAAGACATATAGTCATAAAATTGTCTAGATCTCTGGTCTACCAGTCTGATGCATCTTGGAGTGAAAGCTGATATTATGTATTAGCTATATTTACACATGTAAGCAGCTTTTTCAACCTATTATTTTGATTTTGAGTGGTTGGTTTTGTATGAGGGTTTTACTGGTCAACCCAACTTACTGGTCTTACATCCCATCAAGACTCACATATCTGATGGTATGGCATCACTCTTGGGTTGTTTTACAAAATGAATGAAGGTCAAAACATGAAGAAACGTGTCCCTTTGGTGTAGGCCAGGGGTTCCTACGCTGAGTGCATCATGACTGATTACTAACCACTCATAAATATTCCACACTTCACAAAGGCCTTACAAGCTAGATCAGACAGACAATAACTACTAATTAACAAAGCGGGTCTTGTCAGTAAGTTCCCTTTTTGCAGTTTTGTGACCAAATTCCTTTTCTGAGAGAACTTACTGAGAACAGAAAAGTGAAATGCTGACACGCAGTCCTTCTGCTTTATAATGTATATTTTGCAAGTTGTTGAAGAAGAAGTTGGACATAAAAAGCTGAATAAGAAATGACATGATAATTATCTGAATGCTAAATGCTAAGCTGCTGCTAGCTGCACATGTGCAGGTGTGTATTTCTGTATCTGCTGTGTTGATCTCACAGCACAATGACAATAATGTTAGATATCTACCTTTATCTGCATTGAACTCATATTTAAGCACGTGTGAAGGAGCAGGATTACAGATCTATGACTGTGATCCTCGTAACTGATCCGTTGACACAAGGGAATCTCACTGAGTGTGATGAGGGGCATTAAATGAGTCGGATGTTGCTTCAGCTGAGCAGAGACTCTGGCACATTGGTTATAAATATTAGCAACCCTTTAACATGTTCCCCAACCAGAAGGAGCTAAGGAGAGGCATAAATGCTCTGTTGTTCTTTTTTGGGTGGGGGATGTCTTGATTTGAAATCATATAAATTTAACAAATATAACAGCTGACTTAGTGATGCCAAACTCTTCCCCACAAAGGAGTTGGCGCGCCTTCACTCAGGTTGTTTGAACTGCTTTAAAGGGCAAGTTCAATGAGAAACTGTAAACTTTTTATTTATTTCATTTCCATGCAGGCTGAATGTCTCTTACACCGATCTTCTGCGTGAGCTTCTGATGGAAATAGGGTGGTGCAACACTCGGGTTAGAAAAGCCTGACAGATCTATGTCACACTGTCACTCAGCATTCATGGACTGACTCATCGTGACTCGCGACGGGGCGAGCTGTTGTTGGTTTAGCGAACATGAAACAACAAAGGATGTCTTGGCTAGTAGAAGCTAACCGATTTAGCAACTCCACCACACAGCAGAACTCCTCTAGGCTTGTTTTATTTGTGGAGATAAAACATCAACATTGCAGAGCAAACAGTGTCAATGGAAGAGTTGTGTTGCTGTTAGCCAATCAGAGGAGAGATGTCCAAATAACAGGACAAACAAGTTAAGTGGGTCTTTATCATTACTATCTCATCTAAACAGGTGTTTGTGCTTACCTCTGCCTTCAGTTTCATTGTTTTCTTTACAACTTCATCTGGGTTTTATGAATATTAGGGAGTGGTTTTTCTTTTCGAAATAACGTAACTTCTGGTCCTTAGCTGTGAGAAACGTTTGTTTCTACATGATGAAAATAAAGACGTTTTCCGCTCCAGCTGATTCTTCTGTGTGTGTGTTTCTGTCACCAGAGATTAGTGCAGCTGACATGCAGCTTAGAGTCAGAGAGGTCTCATAAATCCTGTTTCTGAGGCTGCATAACAGACTCACTATACAGCGATGAGCTGTGGGCTGACGGACGTCACCTGAGGCTCCACTTTTAGACCTGCAGGTCTGCACAGAGTTTGAGCTGCAGAGACTCTTTCCTCGTGGCCTGAATACTTCACTTGCCACTCCACCTTTCGGAAGAACACAGACCCCAACAAAGTTCTCGCCTCACCAAGGCGAGACAGGTGTGTGTTGAAGTCCACAAGCTGAAGGAAACATTCTCAATCAGCCTAGTCAGAAACTGCATACGACGTCACCATCTCTAGTTAGACAGTCTGACTGAACTTCTGCGCTGAATCAGTTCACTCTGAAGCTTTCAGATGATCTGGTTTGAAGAGCTTGATGCCTCTGGAAAACTCAGCCCGGAGGAAGCTTGTAGAGGTTTGAACATCAGCCAACACCCACCTGGGGTGAGACCTGGAGATAGATCATGAGAATGGTGTGGGACCAGCTGGAGAGAGGATCCCAGGACAGAGATGCCTGGAGATCCTTTGTTGGCAGCCCATACCCCAGGAGGGATAGCAGGTTGTAGGTAAGTAAGTGACCTTTGACCTTCACCTGAATACTGGTGTGAAGCGATGATGTGAGAAGAAAATCTCACTCATGTTTTAAGGCTTGCTCCCTGTGGTCATAAACCCTGAGATGCTGCATCAGTGATTTATGACTGAAGGTAACGTTGGATCATCTGCTGAGGTCAGGGTGTCCCAAAGCAGATCCTAAAATCAGAAAGAAACATTTAAAACATTTCACTTAAAACATTTTATTTATTTTTAAATCTAACTAGTTTTCTAAGGGGCGGAGCCTCTGATCACCCAGGAATGTTTATAGCTCAGGTCTCAGTTTCAACCTCACCCATCCATCATCCTCAACCATTCACCACATCATCCCTTCATCTTCACCCCTCTCATTCATTCATTCATTCATCCCTGTCAGCTTTCAACTGTTTCCATCTTCTACCATGTCTCAGGAATAATCTAGCACCCGAGTCAGAATTCCCACACAGAGTGCCTCCTCCCTGGCCTCCAGCAGCAAGTGTCCTCACCCCTCGCTTATCCTGAACCATAAACCTGTTCAAGTCACATTTCTGTCGCGCGGTTCAGCTACAGAACCTCTCTGGCTGCTGCCTTCAGTGCTCGTCTCTCCTGATGACTGCGTTGGAACCTGTAGAGAGCAGGATTCTGACCAGACGTCTGTCCCTGGACAACGACAGCAGCAGAGATCGTCATGGTTGTGCTAAAGTGAGCTACTGACTGCGATCACATGACTACCTCAGCTGTGTGCATACCGGTTAGAGTCACAGGCAATTTAGCACAAATGACCTTCAGCAAAGAGCTATTCCTCACAATCACAGAGGTTTACCTTTACAACCTGAGCAGAATCAGCTGAATCAGAACCGGTTCTGTCAGTGTTCTGAGTGACACCAGCGTGCCTTGTCATTACGGTAACTGGTTTCCCACAGATGATGCCTCGGGAGGATTCACATGCAAACACTTTGCTGCTTGTCTTCAGCTCTTGGTGTTGTTGTCTCAGTGTGAAACTGTTCCAGGCTGCAGCAGGATAACATCTTTATGTGAAACAGGTGCACATCTGCTCTGTTTTGATCTGCGCTCAAGGCCGCACCTTTGGAAGTAGGTGGGGGTTATTTATTTATGCAACTGTCCAGAGGAGACATCACAGAGGGGTTCTTCACAATAAAAGAGAAAAGGATCCTGGTGGAAATGAAGAACTTGAGCTTTCTGCAGAAGATTTCCAACAACAAAACAATCCATCCTCAACGGCCAAGCGGTGGTACTGTAACGTTCTAGATCAGCTGGGCTGCGTGGACAGGCTGCACCTGGGAAGGTGTGGATTTAAAGCACACCTAAATCAGATCTATAACTGTAGCTACTTTGTTTGTTCTGGTTTGTTTAGGTGTTGTAACATAACTTTGTTGTTAAATACAACTAGATCTGCATTCATCTGGGGCCTAAAGAGGAAAGTCAAAACATAAAACGGGGGCTTCTCCGGGATATTTCTGACCAACAGTGAATACTAAACTTGATTGGTTTTGTGGGAAAATCTGGTTAGTTTTAGGTTTACAACATGCAGGGAGAACCCCAACATCAACAACCTCAGATCATTATACCAACAAAGATGTTAGGTAGGGATTCTCCTCGGCGTGCTTTTATCATGAAAGGCTACAATTACATGTAACTCTACGAATAAAAATGTGATTATTATAAAGTAGTTTTATTTATTTATCATGGGCAGCAGCAGCTCAGGAGGGAGAGTGGATTGCTGCTGGTAGTCATAGGGGCCGGTGGCGCCTGTGCTCGGCAACCTTGCCTCCATCAGTCCACCTCAGGACAGCTGTGGCTACAGTGTAGCTCATCATCACCAATGGGTGAATATGTGTGTGTGTGTGGGGGGGGGGGGGGTTGGGCTAAACGACTGATTGTGTTATAAAGCACCTTGGGGGGTTTCAGGAGTCTAGAAGGCTGGAGAGAAGATCCCAGCACAAATGCAGGCAATTTACCATCATGACTATTTTTATTATTATGAACTGAATGAGGCAAAACATGTATTGTACATTTTTGTGTTACTGTATTTAAAACATTAAGTGAAACATTTTAAATGAACCCAATTATAAAGCAACACACACACACACACATTAAATGAAAAATACATTTTTGGATGAATATAGACAACAAGAAATTGATGAAAATGACTGAAATCTAACTCAATAATCAGCCAACTTACAATATCAGACCTGTGTAAAAACAAAGCAGCCTACCAAAATAAGAGCGGGTGAAGAACGCTCCTAAGGTCTCAGAATTGCTTTGGTGATGGGATTCTATGAGACGGTTTGACTATGGATCATATCTGAATGTGCCGAGAACCACTTCAGATATAACATAGATTAACATGGAGAGACCTCTTCACATTTCTGTGGACCGCAGTCTAAATGCAAACGTTAGCAAATAACTTTGTTTAAAACCATCTAAATCCTGGATAGCTTTGGTTTTTATTGTGAATTTGTATTTTTTACAATATGATCGGTGTATGATTTTACAAACGATCCATAGGTGTTCTCCATCTGGCTCTTTCTCCCTGCGAGCTGCAGGTATCCACACCTTGTCATTCCCTATTAACGCCCACATTTCACCCAACAAATAAGCCATGCTATCCTCTGCCTTGATCCCCAAACGCAGTTGCTCTGTGCCAATTTATTTCAGAAGCCCTTCAGTCCGTGTGAGAGTCTCCTCCAGCGCGGACACGCTGCAGCGCTTGTGAATACAGGAGTCCCCTGAAAAGCGGGTTTCCCTTCGGGCATGCTGGAGGCAGGTCCCTGACAGAAAGCGCGGAGCTGGGAGTGTGCCTCCACGCCTCCCACTCGGTTTCCTCTCCTGTCGCATCTGGTTGAACGAGGATTCCTCCAGTCGCGGACAGAATGACAGGAGAACTGAAGGACGAAACAGAAGAGGTACAGTATGACTCTCAGCTGTAGTTTGTCTCAGAGTTTTGAGCTTTGATATTTTTTCATTAAGGAGGTAATACATCTCTGTAGGATTTATTGGACCCACGAGGGGGAATTTCATGTTTCTATCCCTCACACCTGGAGCTTGTCGCCTCTCCAGGACTTTGGAGTTTTCTTTAAGAACGTTTGCGTGATGCGAACACTCTTAAGACCAGTCTATTTGTCAGCAAGAACCCCTTTTTATTTATATTACCCATAACGTTGGCGAAAGTGAACGAAAACACATATATTTGCGTAAAAAACGAGAAAGTGGCAGATTGACGCACTTTTACGCATTCGGGTTTAATGTAGTAAACACGGAAAACCTGCATGTTTTGGCACCATTTATTAATAATCACGTGTCGCACAGGTCCTATCGAGAGGAGAGGACTCGTTGCAGTTTATGACATGAATTAATTTAAAGATATTTGGTTTAATAGATTTTTGGGGATGCGTACTTTTACGCATTCACCAAAAGAGAGGTTTCCGTGCGCCCAGGTGCATTCCAGCCCGCTGTGAGGTGGGTCAGGATGTGGAGCAGCAGCCTGCGTGGTGAGGACCCCTTGCGGCTGAACGCAGGGGTGTGGTGCTTCACTTTGCGTTCATTTAAACCCATCCCAGTTTGTGTGGCTGGCTGCTCCAGTCCTTCGTTCCCTCTCAGCGCGCTGCGCACCCTTCTTCCTCCTCCTCACGCTTCTCTTTTTCTGTCTTTCTTTCCCTCCTCCTCCTCCTCTACGTGAATCCTTACAGGAGTTTCCGCATTCACCCTTCATCAGAAAACAAGGAAACATTTACAAACCGAACAACAAAGACATGGACAACGACAGTATGAACGAAAAGGCCATGGAGGATGTCCACACCAAGGAGATAGACCTGGTCAACCGGGACCCCAAGCACATAAACGACAACGTCGTCAAGGTGAGTCAGAGCTTTAAGTTTGACGTTTGAACTAAAAGGTGCAGCTGGAGTGATGCTTTATTGTATAACTGCTGCAAACGAAGTGTTGAGAGAAAATCAAGGTGATAGTTTTACGTTTGTCTAAGAACGTTGCCAAACTTCTGGCAGCTGTTGAAGTGCGCGTCTCGGAGACGCGCTCCGGCTGCGCGCTGATCTCCAGCCCCTCCGTGTCTTTCCCCTATTAGGAAGAAGCTTTGCAAACGCGGTGAAGTTGAAAGAAGTTATCATAATCAGCTCTGAAACGTGACAATCCCGCTCTAAAGAGGAAACATCACGAATTTCCTGTTGTTGCTGCTGCGCGCGTTGATTCCCACAGTCGCTGTTTGCCTTTTTGTGATGAAAGCAAATTCTTTCCGTAAGGGAGAAGGCTGCTCGCACAAAGGCTGGAAGTGTGTTTAGTTTGAGGAGGTGAGGAGAGGAGAGGGAGCAGCGAGGCACCTGCTTGAGTCTACCCTTGTGAAAACATTGAAACACCCTGCTAATCTGATGGGATCCCTCACCACTCCCTCCTCCTACATTTTCTCCCATTCTACTCCCCCCTCCTCCCTGCATGCCAGCACCTGAGCCAAGGGAGCAGAGATGCTTCTTTATTAGCATCTGACAGTTTTTGGAGAGGGAACTGACTGAGGATTTTCTTGGGATGAAAAATTGGCTGAGATGCTGCAGTTCAAAGTAAAAGGAACCAACTATGATTAAAGTCCACTTGAAGATCTCGCTGCTTTCACGGTAATCTTTTTAAGAGACGTTCCAAAAACACATAAAAGGATGCATGTTACCCACGTGACCTTCTAGAAGCTGCTGTTGGATAAAAAGGGGAAAACTGCTCTCCAGCGTCTCTGCTCCTGTCTGCACTCATGCTGTCTCTCCCTCCTCCCCAGCTCTCCAATGTGAAAGTGAGTCAGACTCTCCCTCCAGTCCCCCCCCCACACACACACACGCATGCACGCACACTCACACTCACACACTCACACTCGCACACACACACACACACACACACACACACACACACACTCACACAACCACCACCCACACCCACACACACACACACACACTCACACTCGCACACACACACACACTCACATTCGCACACACACACACACACACACACACACACTTGCACACTCACACACACACTCACACTTGCACACACACACACACACACATTCAAGACAGGAGGCGAAACAATCTGATATCACATGACGATAACAGGAAAAATGACAAAACGTTCTCTAGTTTCGTCATGGTGGGGGGGGGGGGGGGGTCCTGCCTTTTTAGCGTTACAAAAGTATTTTCAGAGGTGAGTCAGGACCGGGGTGCTCCAGTGTTTTATTTCATTGTTGTCATGGCTGCAGTTTGGCTGCTAAAGTTAAAACAGATGTTGGCATCTGGTCTGCAACTGTTGCTGATGGTGCCAGCAAGAGAGGTTCCTGAAGGTCTCAGGGTAAGGTTCTAGATGACTCTCAGTGGGTTGCATGGCCTAGCGTTAACACTCTGAGACGGTCGTGGCAACTTTCATCAAAGACAGATTTGTGGCAGATCAGATAAAACGCAGAATCTGGAAGTCAGCATAACACAAGTGTGCATTTTAACCTGCTTGTCTCTTTAAAAATACATTCATGCAAACAACATTTCAATAAAATCTTTAAAGTTCTTTTCATCCTAAATTAGAAGATCTGTAACATTTCATAATAATAATAATAACAATATTAATGGTCCAGAACAATTGTGTAACATGAGAAGGACCCAGTGTGGAGTCATGCTCTGAACCATGAAAACGCTCTAGTGATTAGAATCATTTTAAAATGACACGTTAGCTCTGAGGTCATCGTGACCTCACTGTTAGCTCGTGAGTTTAGCCAGATTCCCCCAAACTGAGGCTGTTCACACAGCTACCTACAGTAAGTGAGACAACAGTTGTTCATAACTTTTCCACAGAAACACACATCTAAGGATCTGAACTATCATTGTAAGAAGCTCCGCCTCCGACATCCCCAGTGTGTACCTGTGCTGTAGCCACCAGGGCTCTCCAAGGGTGAGTGGAACAGAGCTGAGGAGCTTCTGTCTGCCTCGTCCCAGATTCCAGCTCCGAAACGCGGCTTCACAGAGAGCTGCGGCAGCTCTGAGGTCCTGTGAGGTCATGAATCAGCTCGGCTAAATAGAGGAGTGTGTTCAGTGTGCTGCGGTGGAAACGCACAAGTGGGGAATCCCTTCCACCACACACACACACACACACACACACACACACACACACACACACACACACACACACACACACACACACACACACACACACACACACACACACACACACACACAGTATCTGAGCCTTCCTTCAGCAGCAGCTGGCCTCAATCACCTCTGGCCACATCAAACACTTCTATGACTCGCTCAGACTGCAGAACAGAGAGGGTGTTTTCCTCCTGTGGAGACACTCGGTCTTTTTATAGCTGTGTGTGTGTGTGTGTGTGTGTGTGTGTGTGTGTGTGTGTGTGTGTGTGTGTGTGTGTGTGTGTGTGTGTGTGTGTGTGTGTATGTGTGTGTGTGTGTGTGTGTGTGTGTCCCTCACGATCCCGTGAGTAGAGAAAACTTTTCAGAAGGAGCAGGACCAGAGTCGAGAAGGTTGGTGAGTCATTTACATCTCAGTGAGAGACCAGCTAATGTCTCAGAGGGAAAGTTCACAAGTTCTGAAGTTTATTTCTGTAGAAAAGTTGTGAACAAGAATAACCTGATGTCGCTGATCAGAGCTCAGGGTGTGAATAAGGACCAGAACACAAAACCTTTGACTGCAGCTGAGAACAACCCATCAGAACCAACATCTAGTGAACAGCACAGCTCAACCATCAAATGTTCAAAGCATTTTATGTTAATGTGTGACTTACAAGTGATAATGAAGCAGCAGGTAGCCCTTGAAGCTAACAACGAACACTAATCGGTCAATCCTAGGTGGCAGTGATGCAGCACAGTGAGTCATAGAGGGAAGGGAACAAGGAGAGGACAGTAGAGGGGGGGGGGTGCAGGGGGCGCGGGGAGGGTGCTGGTTTAGAAGATGCTCTCTGAAGAGCAGGGTCTTCAGGACGTTCTTGAAAGTCGACAAGGACGGCCCTGTCCGGGTAGCGCTTGGTAGGTCATTCCACATCTGTGTGTTGAACAGTAGCTGCTTAGGGCGTTCGAATAAGTGAAACAAGTCTGTCTGAGTCAAAACTCGAACGTAGGAAGAACAGAAACGAGTACAAACCTGATTGTGTTGAATGTGTTTGAGCAGACTTGTGTTTCATGGTTACACTAGTGACATTTTAACAAACACTGGACTTGTGTCGTCGTCCTCTGACTCTGACGGCTGAAGGGCCAGCACACCCGGCCCCTTCACGGACCCACGTTGTCTAGTCGAGTGTAGCGGCCTGAAGACAGAGCTCTGGAAATAGCTCTCAGCCTTATTTACCCAACAATACAACTGCCATGCCAACCGGTCACATGCTGACCATTGGACCCCTTTGTTTCACATCAAACTGGACTTTTGAATCAGCTCCACTCAGAACCAGGCTGGTTCGGATGGATCTACTTTCTCTGGTTTTCTTTGATCCAGAAACTTGTTTTCTGAGCTGAAACGTTTAACTTTGTAACTCACAAACGAGACGGTTCCTCTCAAGAGGCTCATCCTTCTAAAAGATAAGGAAATAAATTATTAAATAAAAACGCTGCATCTGATGAAACATATGCGCTGGTTTTGCCCTAACGGTGTGACCCTGAAGGTTAAAAAGCTAAAGCGTCTCCACCCCCTCTCTGCGGCGGTGTGTGTACCTCTCTGAAGAAGGCCTCTCATTTAGGCTCAATCAGAGTTGTGGAAACTGGCTCAGAGTTGGTCCACTTTAGGATTTGTAGCGGTGGAAAAACTAAATGGATGACGGAGCGGTTTTGTGGCTGCGCTGCTGAGAGGGAGGCTCTATGCTGCTGCTGGTCTAAAACACATTCAGAGGCACTGAAACCCGAGGAGCTGATAGTTCTCAGACGTGTTTATGTTAGAACTCCAGGAAATGACACAAAGTTTGTTTTAATTATTTGCCCTTTGATGGAACACCAGTCCATAATTAAAAAGAAGGTGATAAAAATATTTCCTGAAATTTCGATACATTTCTGTATATTTTAGGGGAAACAAAGTTTTGCTTTTTTGCTTTTTTTTTTAGATACAGATTGTAATTTTTATTGTATGTGAGCACCTTGTGTCTGTATTTCAGCTTCCTGTCATCAGCACCATGCAGCGGTTTGATTTCCTGCCTCTGAGTCCGTGTCTGTGGGCAGGACACTGAATCCATTAAAGCAACACTGAATAAGTTTCCCACTTCTCCCACTAACAACATGCTAACATGCACCAACTGATGCTAAATAAGCCACAAAGTAAAAAGACCCACACTGTTGGACAAAAATATTATTACATACAAGTCCAGTAGCAACAAAGCCAGGTCACCATCAGTCTGTGATTGTGTAGCCTTCTTTTGTTCCCTCAAACGAGCGTAGGCCGCGCCGACGTTCACTCTGGCTTCATCTCTTTGCTTCGCCTCTAAAGACATTACTCTCTTATTTTTCCTTCCATGCTCTGCCATGATGCCAACAAATAAGGCTAAATTCTTCTTCCGGTGCATTTATTGATGACCAGCGAACTGAAAAAGCTGCTAGCCTAAGCAGGTAGAGACCTACTACTAGTGTTCCTACCTGAAACACTAAACTCTTAAGTACTTTTTTCTTGTTTAATACACAGCATTACATCCTGAACAGCCCGTGTTCAGAGAAATGGGGATTGCCCACCTTCAGGACAGCCAGTCTTACTTCAAACATCAGCGATCTCTGAATTTTTGCAGTGATCCATTAAACATTATTTTATAAACCTTTACATTTCTGGTTATTTCACATCAGACGGTAGAAATATTTAGCTTTCTGCTAGACCTGACCCTGGATGCTCTAGACTTTCTACACTTTGCAGCTGCTGGCCATCTTTACATATTTAAATAAACCGAATGCCAAGTAAATATTCATGTAATGCTAAGCTGCTGTGTTGGTTTATATTCTAAATTTTGAGCATTTTTCTACATAAATTTTCTAAACACTCCGACATTCCTGTGATACTTTAAAGTGGTTTAGATACTTCTTGAGATTTTGTGAAGTGCTATGAGTTTTTCTTTGAACTGCAGCTTTTTTGTTTAAGACAAATGGTCTTTGTTTGGGGCTGCGCAGTGATGCAGTGGCCAGCGCTGTTGCAGCGAGATGGTCATGAGTTACAATCCCAACATGGGCTCTTTCTGCAAGGAGTTTCCATGTTTTCCCTGGTCGTGCAGGTTCTGTCCGGGTACCCTGAGCACTCAGTACTGTCAGGTTGTTTGGTCTCGCCAGATTGTCCTGAGTGTGGGCACGCATGGGTGTTTGTCCTACGATGGACTGGCTACCTGTCCAGGGTGTACCCTGCCTGTTTACCTGGAGACTGCTGGAGGTAGGCGTGAGCCCCCGTGACCCTGCATAAACAAGCGGGTGTAGAAAATGAATGGATGGTCTTTGTTTGGCTTTAACTAAACTCAGCAGGTTTTGTGCTGCTCTGTCTGTCAGAGCCAATTAATGAATTATACACATGATAACACAGTTTGACAGACAGGACGCTGGATTTTAGCTCCAGCAGTGTGGACATGTTAGCTGGGAACTTGCCGAATGAAAAATGATCTCAGGTCTTTACTCAGATGTTTAGATCATTTATTCTAATTTCTGAAAAATATTGTTTTTGTCCTCTGTCCTTGTTTCAGTTTTCTGATCTCAGATCAGCACACGGTTTACCTGCATGCTGAATTAGAAAACATCAAGCAAAGTGAAAGCAGCTGATTCTGTTTCCGTTGGTTCTAGATGTCTGATCTAAAAATAACGTGTAAACAACCTCTTGCTTTACCTTCATGTTACATCATCATGAAGGTGGAACCAGGCCAGTTCACCATCAGTGTGACACTGGTTTTTATTTTGGTGACTTATTGATATTATGGTCTGCAATAGACCAGCTGCTCTGTTTGCCACGGTACAATAATAGACCCCGACTCTGAGGTCAGAACCCCGTGGTGAGAGAAAGGCAAAGGAAGCTCAGCCTCAGGGAGCCTCCTGGTAAAGAGCTGAGATAAGTGTTGACAGAGTGAAGAATCATGTCCTGCCGGTTTTTCCTCCATGGCAGGTGGAAGGAGGAACCGGCTTCCATGTCAAATAAGTGAGAATGTGTTATCTTTGCTGCCTCCAGAAGCACAAACACCCGAGCTGACCTACAGAAAACAGATCCGATTTCAGAGATGTGTGTGTGTGTGTGTGTGTGTGTGTGTGTGTGTGTGTGTGTGTGTGTGTGTGTGTGTGTGTGTGTGTGTGTGTGTGTGTGTGTGTGTGTGTGTGTGTGTGTGTGTGTGTACCAGTTGCAGCTCTGAGAGACATAAATCCAGTCAGGGATCCCACCCTGTGAATCAACATAGACAAGCAGATGGTTTATGAGAGTGTAACATCAGACTCATGGCTTCTCTTCATATACGCACTTTTGTGACATTTTTGACAGTTCTAGGGGCGGGGCCACAGAGGCATTGTCCCCTGCTGAAATCTGATTGGCCCCCTGTATTGCCTCTGTCCTGTCACTCATCTGTACTCATCTGTAGCTCAATGGTCAGACATGTAGTTGGGTGCAATCCCAAGTTTATACACTAGTGGCGCTAATGAGCCAAATAGGAATTTCCAGCTTGGAAAGGTCTGTGAGGATGTGGCTGCTTAATGGCTCCATACTGCTCCTGTCCGTCTAGATTTCTAGAGTAGGAAAGAGCCTGATATTAGCTCTGTATGTACCATTCTGCATTGATTCACAGGCTACAACTAAATGCTAGAATAACATGCAGGTACATCTTAGGTGTGTTCTATCTGCGTCGTGGTTCTAATTCCATGCTGTCGTTCTATTTTTAAAACACAGAAACAGTTTCGTTGCCTGTTCTCCCGCTATGTTTCGTCTGTGGCTGCAGACTTCCTCAGGCTGACGCTGATGGTGGTGTCACTTCCTTCTCTTCCACACCCTCGGCTGCCCTCTCTCCCCTCTCCAACGATGCAGTCCCATGCACGATCCAATGTGTTAACATGGGCAATAAACAAAGGAAAACAACAAACAACAACAGAAAGAAAAAAACGACCAAAGCAAAGAACCAGAAACCCAGAAAGACAAGAACCAGAACCAGTGATAACCCTACCATACATCAGAGGCATAACAGAAAAAATAAGAGCAACAATGAAAAAACACAACATGAACACACCAACAAAACCATACACAACAGTTAGAAACAGACTAGTACACCCAAAAGATAAAATACCAACTGGACTTAAATGTGGAGTCGTTTACGAAATCCCATGCAAACTCTGCAATAAAACATACATAGGAGAAACCGGACGCCAACTCAACACACGAACAATAGAACACAGAAAGGAGTGCGAGAAAGAGGCAAGTAGTAAACACACAAGAGCAGCAAAACAAGAAGCAGAAAGTACAATAAAAAAATCAGCCGTAACAGATCATTGCTCAAGAGAAAACCATATAATGGACTGGGACAACACAAGGATCATAACCACTGAACAACAAAAATACAAAAGATGGATCAAGGAAGCAATCGAGATAAGGAGACGTGGATGTGGGACCATGAACAGGGACGATGGAGTTTACACGTTGGACCGCGCATGGGATTGCATCATCGGAGAGGGGAGAGCGGGCAGTAGAGGGCAACAACATCCTCTGCTGCCCGCAGATAAACGGAGAAGGAAGTGACGCGCCACCATCAGCGTCAGCCTGAAGAAGCCGGCAGCCGCAAACGAAACGTAGCGAGAAAACAGGTAACAAAACTGTTTCTGTGTTTTAAAATTAGAACGACAGCATGGATGCAGGTACATGATTATCCTCAGTATTAGACCATTAATGCTAACCAAGTAGTAGCAGCCAGCACACATTAAGTTTAAATACAAATAAAAGCAGCAGAGGTTGTAAAAACACCAAAACAAATTCATGAATTTAGTTGGTTTTGCCTCGGAATCAAAGTAGTTATACTAAGAAGGCTAACATTTGACTCTGACATAACTTTGCTGGTTATGTTGAGCAATGACATCACTGCAGTGTGATTGGCTAGCCTCAATAGTCCATGGCTGCAAAGTAAATGTTGGTTCAGGACAGAAATCACAATCTTATTTATAGATTATATGTCTATTATTGTTGGGTTAGGACTGCATAACTAGTTTTTGACACTCAACTGTGACTTGATGTTTCCAAGTCGGTTTAATCCAACAGAAATTACATGACCAATAAACCTGTTCAACCTGACTTTGTTGGAGACCCAACTGCGTATGCTGGAGTATCACACAGGCCGCGTACACATGTACACATAGCCTGGTTTTAGAGAAACTCAACAATCCCCCCCACCCATTTAGTCCACACCGCTTCACTTTCAGCAAAAAATGTGTTGTGATGCACATTTATAGGCATGTCTAGCCTGTAGGTGGCAGTACTTCCCCAAATCTTTGGCATCTTTGACAAAATACATTCTTTGAACATGGGTCTAATCTCAATACTCACATTGCGCCTTGAGGTCTTCTGTGAAGTGTGCACTTGGAGGAAGTTTGCAGTAAGGCTTTGAGTGCGTGGTACACAAGTGTGCAAATAATTGTCAAACTGGGACGGGGAGCATTGTGTCATCAACCACAAGGCATGGGATGCTGGATGCTGTGATACTTTTGTAACAAACCCTTTATTAAATATTTTCAAATGAACAATCGAAAAATTCATTTGAATACATTTACATTCATTGCTGCTTTTTCTAAAACATTCAGAGCATCAATCGTCCTAAAATGAACTACTTTCGTTTGAATATACATATTTTCAGAAAAGACACTTGAGCCTTTTCTCCTGCAGCAATGGATTGTGGGTAATACCCTTCACCTAAGTCCATCAATGCGGATTTGGGATGTAAAAGGGGCATAATCACATTCCACACTTGAGAATTGGGACACCCTATGCACTCACACCCCTGGCCGGGATTGTGCAATTGAAGGGCGCAAATGTGAAAGTGCGAGTATTGGGATTGGGCCATGGAATGACTAAGTGGCAGACAATAGCCATCCTCAACATTGTCCTTTGCCTGTAGCCGTCTACAAAGAGCAGAAATGGAGTTTGTGAAAACGAACTTGTGAGTGTAAAAATGGGTCAGACATTTGACGTCAGAGCATTTTTGAAGCGACTTTGCAAAGCCTAAAACCCTGGTTATTTAAGGCCACAGGCAAATGCTGACAAGGGAGAACTAGCCAAGCTCCACTTTGATCTGAGTTTTCGAAATAGTCTTTTCTTGGTATCTTTACCTCCATTTCCATGTAGGTGACAGGCCGAACTGTAGAAAAATAACTGTTTTGTGGGAAACCTGGCTATGTGTGTCCATGGTAACAGTTTCCCCTAAGGCCTTTTAAAGTCTGCAAAGAGTATGAAAGTTGTGTAGAGTTTCCTCGACTTCAGTCAGCAGTACCATTGCACCAACCATCTAATGGCATCTCTTCCTTCCTCAGGTGGACTTTGAGGATATCATTGCAGAGCCCGCAGGAACCTACAGCTTTGACGGAGTATGGAAAGCCAGCTTCACCACCTTCACTGTCACTAAGTACTGGTGCTACCGGCTGCTGACGACGTTGGTCGGCATCCCACTGGCGCTGATCTGGGGAATCTTCTTTGCCATCCTGTCCTTTGTGCACATCTGGGCTGTGGTGCCATGCGTCAAGAGCTACATGATCGAGACCCACTGCATCAGCCGTGTCTACTCCATCTGCGTGCACACCTTCTGCGACCCGCTGTTCGAGGCCATGGGCAAGATCTTCAGCAACATCCGAATCCAATCAACAAAGGGAGTGTAGAATCCCAGAACAGGAGTAAGAAGAGGATTTAAAGGAATATAGTCTAGGAGGAAGGACGGGGGGGGGGGGGGGGGGGGGGGCAGGAGCCAAACAAACAGAGAAAAGAGGGGGAGAAAAGAAACAGACCTCAGGATAACAAGAGCATGAGGGATGGAGGGGTGGGGTCACGTGACACCTGAACCTGCCTTCCTGTGTTTTCTCTCCCCTAACACCATAACCAAATGGGTGGGCACAGAAATATCAAAGGGCTTCTTCCTCTGGGGTATTGTTTTAGTATTTTTCGTTTTCATTCTTTTTTTTTTATCTTCACTGTCAAACGAGCAGCCAAACTTTATATCTCGTTAGTTTTGCAGACTCTTTACATTTGTTTCTGAACAGGCTACGGGGTGGGGAGGTGTCAGGGTACACCCTGTAAGTTCTCGCACTTGTTCACGTTTGTTTTGGGGAGCTGTGGGGCGGGGCAGTCTGCAGCCAGGGGTTGTGAGGGATAAACAGCAAGCGCTGCCATTTTCTGTCTGACTCAGCTAAACACAGAACAACCACACGCTGTGAGCTGCACCTCCTATCCCGCACTTCCCCTTCATGACCCTACACTACCCACAAGCCCACCAAACCCCCTCCTGCAGCTCCCCCACAGTCTAACACACTGAACCTGCCGTCTGCCCCGTGTTCCCGTCCACCGTGCCACCAAACGGTGCAGAAAGCCATCTCCTCACATCACTCTCCCTCTGCAACACCTTCTTACTCCACCTCAGCCTAAAATCCTCACCGCAGGACATCCACCTTCATTGCTACAGAAATGTGTGACTGAATAGTGTTTAGATTTTGCAACAGCAGCTTTTTAATGCCAAGTATGCAGAGATTTTCTGAATGTTTTTCCCCACATCACCATCACAGCTCCACGGAGCATTGTGTTTGCTCCTCGTCAAACGTGTTTGAGTTGTTTTCTTCTTGCCATCGGTTTGAATTCTGATGTGTGCTGTGTGGGGTTTATGCAGAAAGCAGCTGCATCATTCCAGTGTATTACTCTATGGGAAAGTATTCTTAGCTGAATAAAAACATCCTGCATGCATGCTGCAGAGACATTAGATGATTACTGACCTTTAGCTGTGCAGTAATGAGCCTGTGTGAGGGTTTTACACACTGTGGTACTTACACAGATTAATGCACTGGAATGAAGTCAATGTGAGCTGAAATATGTGATTTTTAGATTCTTCCTTTGCCCTTCGCTCTTCCCTAACTGTGGATGTGGGACATCTCTCCCTCAGAGATGGGTGAGTCCAGGGACTGTGGTGGGTGGGGGTTTGGGGATGGATATTATTGGATTGTTATATTTTATTGAGTCACTAAACTTGCTTTTGCTGCCACCTATGGTCTACCTGCTGTCCTCTCACAGGAATAGTCACAGCACCAGTCTTTTTTATGATTTTTATGCTCTGAAGGTGATCTGTTTTATAAAGAAGTTTTATTTCTGCCCTGCTTTTTACTGTACAATATCATGCTGTGCACAATAAAATGTAATATAATCCAGTGTGCACGTTGTTTATTTGTTATTATCGACACTGTTATTCCCAGAATGGGAGAAGAGATCACTGCCTTTTCATAACAGAACAGAGGAGGTTTGTTCTGGTTCTCTTGTGATATTGAGTCATAGCACATCTAATTGTGTTATGATGCTTATTGGGAGCTTGATGGCTGCTTTTATTCATGTGCAGCACTGCTACAGGACTCTGATCTTTAAGAGAAACCAACCTGAAGCAAGTAGCCCTCAGATGCCGTATTTGGTTGTTTTTGGTCTAATTCCTGTGGTGTTGCTCACACAGTACCGAGGTTTATGTTTTCCAGCCTGGCACAGTATTGTCATGGTTACTTCAAAACAAATAAGTGTTGAGCAATGCTCATGGGACCGGAGACAAGTTAACTGTGCTCAGATTGATTTACACTAAAAGCAGGCACATGACTATTCAGCCAGAGGCAAACCATGCTTCTAATGATGCTGTTTCCCATCAGGAACATGAAGTTCATCCCTTCTGAAAAACCTCCAGTTGTCACCATTCTGGTTGATTTATAAATTTTCCAGTTTAGTCCAAATTTAGTGAGTCTAGAAAGGTTTAGTCTTGGAAAAAAACATTGATTGTTTAACATAGTTGGGAAACACTATCTTAAAATCACGTTTAAAGGAAACTGCAGTTTCAGGTTTGCATCAGCAGGTGGCAGAGCTGTTCAACAAGGATGAAAACTAATCATGAGACCATGTTGATCACGCTGCCATAAGCAATGTTTGGGCCTCACTAGAAACAGGGATCAAACACATACTTTATAACAATGAGTCTGAAACAAATGTAGAAACTAACTAAATAAACTCAGTATTCATCTTGATTTGTTAGACACATGAACAGACTGTGATGCTACAAAAGAACAAAAGAGCTGCTACGGAAGCCTGGAGGCCCAAAGGATCCAAAACCAGAGTAAAACATGAACTTTTTCATGAGTGATTGGAATATTATTGCTGGATACTGCATCACGGCGCAACATCTGCGACTGGAGTCATAATTAAGATTAGAGGAGTCATTTTGATGAGTTACATATATAGTTTGTGTGTTTTGCCCTCATTCTGTCATCAAACCCTAACACTCCCTTGCACTCCCATCTCTCTGAGTAGCCTGGATGTGAGGTGGCTGAAAACCCTCTGCAGCCTACTTCCACCGGATGTACCTTCACTTTCCAGGCTTATTGTTGCCCCTCGGCTGTCAGCTCAGCATACCTCAGCTTCTTCCTCTCATAGGCCTCCCCAGTTGCACTCTCGCAGGGCACAGTGAGCTCAATGATGAGGACGAGCTTGAGCAAAACCAACCACAGCAGAATGTCTGGCTGTAGGTTGGTCGGTGCAATCTCAGCTGAAAAACTTAGCTTTTGGCCCACATCTACTAGTATCTTCCAGTCTCACGCACCACCAACTGCCCAGTGTCTGGACTTGTAGCTTGAGGCTTGCTTGAATGTCGCCCTCCCGGACAAATGTTTATTCCAGCCAGTATGATGACAAGGGTGGAGAGTCATTGACACTTGTCTATTGACTTTCCAGCACTGTTGCAAGACACTCTAGCACCTGGTTGTACTGCCAGGTGTAACAACCTTGGATGAGGCTAGTCTTGCAGCCCATTAAGATGTGCCTCAAAGGTGCTGGATTTGAACATATAGGGCATATTAGGTTTTCACCATATCACTTAGGTTTACGGGAGAAGGGGGGACATCATAGGCAGCCCTGGTGGTAAAGCTTGCCCTGAATACCTCCATCTCCCACAGCTCTTTCCAGGGGATCTTCCTCTTCTCCACTCCTTTCCATGTCATCCGCTGGCCTTGCCTTGCCTGCGCAACAGCTTGATCCTCTGGAGGTTTCTTCCTGTTAAAAGGGAGTTTTCCTCTCCACTGTCACTATATGCTTGCTTAGTATGAGGATTGCTGTATAGTCACTGACACTAGTCAGTGACTTGATGCAATTTGCTGGGTTCCTTATATAGGAAACATTATTTCTGATTGGCTTAATGAACTGACCTGGATTGCAATGTTTATTATGTGAAGTGCCTTGAGACGACTCTTGTCGTGATTTGGCGCTTTATAAATAAACTTGAATTGAATTGAATTGAATGGGCAGCTGTGTTTTTGTTAACAACACCATAAGAAGAAATGAGGTCTTGGGGGAGCTTCATGGGCAGCGGTTCAGTTAACCGAATCCGCAGCTTCAACCCATAGAGGTCAGTGATGCACAGCGGTTGATCACGTCTTTGCTAAACCGGGAAGGAAAAGACTCAAGGTCAGACACGAACACCAACATAAAGGTGCTTACCTTGGTGAGGTGCTTACCCACAAAGGGCAGATTTCAGAACGGAGCGCAGGACGTCAGGAGGCCATCTATCAGACTCAGCTCTTGACCTTGGAGCAGCAGGGCTGTGGTCAGCACGGTCGTGGTTCAGTGAATAATGGTAAGGGCGGCATTCACCTGAGTGGGACGAACCCCCCCCTTTGAGGCTCGATCCATGAGCACCAACGTGCTGAACATGGGCTCCTTTTAGTACTTACTGGATCTTTAGCAAAGGGGGAGTGTTTGAACCAAGAAGATTTTGGACATCTCAAACCCAGATATTGCTTCATGGACTGTGACTTTGGAGATGCTCATGTCAGAGCATCTTGAGCCCTGGTTTCAGGTGGGTCTCTCGAGCCCAAAACACTAGAGAGGTGTCGGCATGGGAATCCAGGCCTGTAGAGGACTCTAAGGGGTCAATGATGCACTGAGTAGTCCGTCTGAACACATTACCTGCCATTTCTTTGAGTTGTTTCAGGGTAGCTTTTCAATATTAATGGCACTCATTTGCACGCTTATGGAGGGATGCAGATTCTCAAGAAAACGTTCTTTAAAGTCACCATTTTCTTCCATTTCAGTGAGCAAGAAATGCATGGAAAAGGCACATGTGAATCTTTCAAGGGAATCTGTTTTCCTCACATGGCAAATTTTAAACCTGCTGTCTTTTTGTACCTGAGAATTCCTCCTTCAAAGTTTTACAGAGGAGGGAGTAGTCACTTCTGACCTCAGGCAGCTGGCAATCAATGAAATCTTACACCACTGTGGACGAGGTGAGCCAGTTCAGGAAAATATTGTCAGAACTGGAAACAGTAGGGAAATGCTCGAGATGACTTTCAAGTGGGAGCCCATCATCTCCTCCGTCATTAAAAAGGCCCAGCAGAGGATGTACTTCCTGAGGCAGCTGAAGAAATTCAACCTGCAAGCACAACCAATGAGGCAGCTCTACACCGCAGACATCGAGTCCATCCTCACCTCTTCAATCTCAGTATGGTATGTTGAAGCTACCACCAGGGACAAGAAGAGGCTGCAGCATATTGTACGCTCTGCTGAGAAGGTCATTGACTGCAAACTGCCCTTTATACAGGACCTGTACACCTCCAGGACATTGAGCAGGTCAGATCACAGCTGAAATGTGTCACCCAGGACACAGGCTTTTTGACCTTCTCCAAGGAGGTTCTGATCCACAAGAACAGTTTCTTCC